CAGGGCTATGCCCTTAAAGGGCATAGCCCTGAGGACCCAGATTGTTGGGGGCAATATGCTGACTCTCTGTAAACCGCTTAGAGAGGCCTGAAAGGCCTATGAAGCGGTATATAAGTCTACTGCTATTATGCATAGGTAATGGAGATTTCATAATATAAGCAAATTTGTTTCCATACAAAATCTTAGGACGTGTTGGCCAGTCTCTTTAAAAATAGCGTAGCCATATGCATTATAGGTAGACCTTGACCACAGTTAGAAGTAAAACTTCTGTATTCTTAAGTGATGCAGTTGTAAAAGAGTTCTCATGTGGCCAAGCCTGATTTTACTGCTCTTTTTTGATGTGGTCGTTAAGCAGATCTGGCTTTCTCTGTTGACATTACTTGTTGGATGCTGTGTGGAAAAGGTCTATGACAATTTGCAATGGCCAACTCGCTGCGGGACAGGAGTTACGCTAATATCAAAGAAAGGATGGAATAGAATCATGAAAGAAAGGATGCAAAAGGTGGGACACAATGAAATGTGAATGGCAAAAATAAAAATAAATTTTTTTAAAAAAAATTTTTTAAATAGAATTGTTAAATTGTCCCACAGCGAACCGGCCCATGGCATGTTGGCTGTGACAATTGTCCCATTCCGGTCTGGGAAGGTTGCAAATGGTGATTGTGGAAACCTCCCCCCCCCCCCTTGCAATTATCACAAATACAGGCTAAGAGTCCCAATCATATGACTGTAAGGACACAGTCATAAGTGTGAGAACTGGGTGTAAGCTTTTTTCAGCGCCATCGTATCTTTCAATGGTCGCTAAATATATGGTTATAAGTCAAGGACTCCCTCTATGTACTTTACATTCAGTAGTAAATGAATGTAAAGTACTGAATGACAGAGGACTGCTTGCCTAGGATAATAAAATATTTCAAAAAGAGGCAAAGTAAACAAGGAAGACATAAGTCAGGAAGCTATTGCAAGGGACCGATTGCAATGAACTGATTTTGGTAAAAGAACAAGACTATATAACATGTTAAACTCCTGCAATTTCTTAGAAGCAAGACAATAGTGGTGAAAATAGCTAGAAGGAGGATATTATAACACAAAATGCCTTTAAACAATGGGATTGAGTCTCTTGTATCAAATCCAGATTAGCACATTCTGAAATCATATTCTGACTTGTTCATTTCAAACTTTGTTTTAGACGATTCTTTAAGTGTCCTGCATGCTACGTTTATCGATGAAACAGCTGAAGACAAAAAGAGTCTACCTTGTGCTCTAGGAGTGGACAGCCACGATCAACATTCTAGCCCTCGGGAAGAAGATGGCTCAGCTAGTTCATTCATGCAGCTTCAAGAACTTGCTCTAAACAATAGAAAACAATGTCTTCCTGGCTACGTGCCCGAAAAAATCTCTCCTGAAAAACTGAAGATTTCTTTAAATGGAAATGAACAGGTGGCCGGAAGGGACTGTCTGTCAAGTAGGACAGAAATGCAGCTGGTGGAGTTGCTGAACATCTGTGGACCTAGCAAAAATATCAAGGCTACAGAAAATTCATTTTTCACCGTAGATTTTGCAACGGAGGTAATGAGTGAAAACAACGGGGTGAACTTTAAAAGGAACCCAAGAAAAAGCAGAAGATTGACGGAAGACCTTCTGCGCACCAAGGGCACTGAGTCAAAAAGTCCTGGAAACAGCACTGGTATTCCTGGAGGAAACCTGGGCGAGTTGCCACCTTGTTCTTGGACAGCCGATGACATTGCACTTTTAAACCATTTTGAGGAAAATAGGAATGTAACAAAAAAAGTAAGACGCAGCATGAGGGGTCAGAAAGATGCAGAAAGTGAGGGCCTTGCCTGGGTTGAGATCCCTTGCAAAGCTCCAAAAAGGCTGTCATTGGCTGGTCCTCAAGAATCAAAGCCTGCCGTGAGTAGCCTCAATGGACCAAGAAGAAGAAGGAGCTTCTGCGCATTGAAAGCTGAAAAAGATCAAGGTGTTCCCGTCAACGTTCCAAGGAATAGAAGAGCCAGTCTGGGTTATAAAAGTGACTGCTGCTATCGAAAAACATTTGAAATGAATACATTCTTGAAGAATCAACCTACTCATTAAATTAAGATTGCTGTTCAAAAGGGGACTGTGTGAAATATTTTGCTTCAGCCATTCAAGTTAGGCAGAGCTTTTACATGTCTTCATATTTTTTAAGACTGCATAGACCTTTGACTTCTTCCCTTTCCATTGCTTTTCCCAAAAAGAAGTAAAGAGAAAAATTGAAGGAACTAAAAACAGAAATGGAGAAAGGGATAGCAATCCAATAGGTTCTACTTAGAAGTAAATGGAAATTTAAGACTGCACCTAGCTGTCAAAACTCATACGTTGTAGGAAATGTGGTTCTCATTACCGACTGTTGAATGCAGTTCCATCAGAAATGTGGATAAATGTTAAAACCAAGCACATATCACTGGAAACAGGTCTCTAAACATTTTGAAGTGGACATCATTAAAGTACTAAAAGCAGAGCATCTTGGGTGCCACAACTCTTGGGTGGCAGGAAAGCCCCAAGTGTTCCGTCTTCCTCCTTTTTCAAGATGTATAGCTGTGCATGAGTTTTATGCATCTGTAGTGACGGGGGTGTTTCTAAACACTTTAAAAAGTGATTGCACCTTTAATTTTGTGAAAGGCACTGTATATCACCATGCTGGGAGGTTTTTTTTCTGCTTTAAAAAAATACATAATAATATGACAAAATCCAGGTGAATACAGATGTATTTTAATCCTTTTCCAAGCAGGGCAAGTCTGTGGCGCTCAAGGTGGTGATTGTTCTAATTGTCTTTAGCATCAATTACAGATTACTCCCTGTTTAATGCTACTATTGACTTAGTAGAAATCTAAGAAGAAAAACCTCAATTGGGTTGAACTGCAACCAGACTGATGTACAGTAACAAGCTAAAGTATGATGAAGTATTTTCTGGCTAAAATAGAATGAAAAGCAGCAGGGGCGTGCTTAGAGGAGAAATCAACTTATTCTTTCTCAGCTTATCATTGGTTATAAATGAGTTTAGCTATGCTTGGCCCATTTCCCCCCACTATTCTGGTGTATCCTTGTTTTCTTTTTTTATCACATAGAAACCTCAAGGCTATTTCTAGATAGAGAATTTTGATTATACAGACATGAAATGCATTGAGAAATAAAATAGCAGGGGGCAGGTTGGCAATGGGCCTCAATTCAGCAAGATCTGCAGGCAGCTCTCTATGGGTTTAAAGAGTAACAAGCAATCTTTACTAGATCCTGGTTTCTTTTTGCCTAACTTGCTATATCAATGAGATTTTCTCTTTTGACACCTAACATTGAATATGAAGAAATAAAAATAAAATCCACATAATCCTTATTTCTTGGGGGGGGGGGCGACAGTGGCAAGAAGAAATTTCGGCTGGAATTTCTAAGGATATTTTTTGGAACTCTGTGTGTGTGTGTCTGTGTGTGTGTGCGTGCAAATTACGTTAAAAGGCTATGCCGTATGCACAGAATGTTTATATTCATAATGTCACTGTGTATGGCTGCAGTATAACAGGGGAGCAGGCAACTTATAACCACCCGAGGCTTTGGATCAGTGCTTCTCAACCTTAGCCATTTTAAGATGTGTAGACTTCAGTTCCCAGGATTCTTTAGTCAGCATGCTGGCTGGAGAACTCTGGGAGTCCACACATCTTAAAGTCACTAAAGTTGAAAAATACTGCTTTTGATTATGTTTCCCATAACCCTTAAATAGCATACCCACCTAACAATTGCTGGAAATATCTGCAAAATACACTATTGGACATGTTACTTTGTATATAATGTTAACAAAGGTATGACTCCACAATTGCCTGTATAGAGTATGTCTTCTCTTGCTCCTCTAGAGGTGATATGAGGCCATTCTTGTAGCACTTATGAGCAAAGTTCTTCATCTGCTACCATCTCCTCGCCACCCTGATTCACTGCAATTGTACACGCAGCTGAATGGGCTACTGTTTTTATTTACCAGTCCAGGAAGTTGGATAGTGCTTGGATTGGAGCTGCCTTTAGAACAGTAAAACATAGCTCTGATTTGTAATTTCTCGTTTTGTGGGGGATCTAGTTTTGACGTTTCCACTACAGAAGACTTGGGAAGGATATTTGTCTTTGTAAAAAAAAAAAAAGGTTTCTGCATATTTTAGTTTCATAGGTTAAGCAGTCAATGACCCCAGAACCTTTTATTGCTACCAAAAGACAGAGAATAAATAACATTGCATTTCAAAACATGGTGTTTGGATGGTCTGAAATGCGCATTACCTTAAATCATTTCACCTTTTGCGCTTCAATTTTATTGATGCTGTGAAATGCTCTTGACTGAGGAGCAGTAGGTAAAACATGGGTGGGGAAGGGAGAAGTTCGTATTGTGTATACATGATTGAATGATAGATTGGGATCCATCTATCACTCTTGGTTTGCTTCTACGGTACACTTACCTTTGGCATCAAAAGACAGTTTGCTAATATATCAAGAAAGGTTGAGTGTAAATAATAAAGCAATGAACCCAAGATGACTCGGAGGTTGTTAACAGCTATTGTTTAGCCTTTCAGTCCAACTAATAATTGAAAGCTAGGCATTGTAACCTGAGCAAAATCGGGGCTTGAAGCATACGTTAAAGAGTAAAGTAAATCTCAGTGAAACACTTGCTCCCTACATATTTGGGACCCTTTGATTTGAAAATTGGCAAGAGGTTCTTCACTTCTGAACTATGTAAGGAAAACACTTCAACCAGTGACTAAGCCTCTGCATCTTTGAGGAACGAAGACTAGCATATTTTAGAGCAGTGTTTCTCAACCTTGGCAACTTTAAGACGGGTGGACTTCAACTCCCAGAACTCCCCAGCTGGCATGCTGGCTGGGGAATTCTAGAAGCTGAAGTCTACCTGTCTTAAAGTTGCCAAGGTTGAGAAACTCTGCTTTACAGCTTCTGGAGGCTTTCAGCTCCCTGTTGTGGGTTTGGAGTCAAACACATCTGCCTCCCATTTGGAAAACCTGGATGAATGCCAGAAGGCCAACATGAATTTTGAATATTAACTCTTTCAAGCGCAGTTTTGTTTTCTGTCTACTGGGAGAGAGATTGAAACGCAGGGAAATTTGCATTAGCAAAAGTCGCTAGCTGCAGGGTCACAAAGGCTAAATTCAGCTAACAATGCACAATTGAAATATTCACATAACATGTTGACGCGCAAACTATATATTGGCTGCATGAAGCCAAAGCACAATATACCAAATAGCTTTGTTTCCACATCAAACTGAATTCTCCAACCCTCATGTTAGTCTAATATTACACGGAAGAGTTTAGCCTATCGGTGGCTTTACTAGTAAAGTTTTTTAAATCCTATTTTTAATCAGTGCTGTGATCTTGGGTAGAGCAATTGTTCATTTGTGGTTAGATATCCTTGCTTTATTCAAAAGACTTCTTTTTTTTTAATAGAGATGGGCTGAGGGCTATTTTTTTTTTCCTAACTTCAATTTTCTCCTGTGCACAGACCTGCAGTACTTCTCAAAACAGTGATAACCTGATTACAGTTTGCACTTCTAGAAAAATCTATGGTGCCAGAAGTATCTTGTGTTCTTTCTGATGCTCAGCTATATAAAGATGTGGAAAAATTCTTCATCATGCTGCATTATTTCTTGAGACAATGTTTTCTTTGATCGATTACAGGTAGTCATTGACTTTGGTTAGTGACCATTCAAAGTTACAGTGGCACTGAATAAAGTGGCTTATGGCTGGTCCTTATGACCTTTGCAACATCCTCAAGCCGTGTGATCTAGATTTGGCCAAACTTTTACAGTGATTACCACGTCACAAGGTCATGTGATTGCCCTTTGCGACTTTCCTAGCTGGCTTTTGACAAGCAAAGTCAATGGAATTAGCTGCATTCGCTTAACGACCGCATATTTCATTTAGCAAGTGTAGTGATTTGCTTAGTGGCCATCACAAAAAAA